TGTTGTTTCTTTGACTTGTTCCTGGTGATCATATGTTGCCCTTGTGGTGCAGGAAGTACCTCAATTGGTACACCAACCAAGGTAGTAGAGTGGAGTGTAGCATTGAAAGTTGATGGACAACTGATGCATCAACTAAAGTGGTTGTTTGATGATGATCATTGATTGGACCTGTAAGAGCAACTTGTTGCTCACTGCTGCTGGAAGATTCAAAATCTGCAGCTGGACTTTCAATACTACTATATGGATCATCAACCACAACATGTTCCTCATCATATGATCATGTGCCTGATATGTCAATAATACTCTCATCATCAATGAGTACATGAGGTCTAGCAGCATTATCACTAGTAATGTGTGGCATAGTAGCCTGTAATTCCCCTGAATCATAATTATTATGTGCCTAGAGAATGATTCAACAAAAGTATCAAGGTGAGATGAGACATCAATATTAGTTTGAAATTTCTTTGGAGACACATAAGGTAATGTGTTTTCATCAAACACAACATGTCTGGATATGTAAACCCTCCTTGTAGAGGGATGATAGCATTTATATACTTTGTGTAAGTTGTTGTACCCAATGAACACATAAGGATAAGTCTTTGGACTGAACTTATTGTTACCCTTGATATATGGAAAACATCTACACCCCAACACTTTTAGACCGTTGTAATCAAATTGTTCCCCATAAACTTAACAAATGGAGTCATCATTTTTAGGACTGATGAAGGCAATCTATTGATGAGAAATAGTGCAGTGAGGAAAGCTTCAACCCATAAAAACAAAGGTAGATTAGCATGAAGTAGTAAAGTTAAGTCAGTCTCCACAATATGCCTATATTTTTTCTCCGCAACTTCATTTTTTTCAGGTGTGTTAGGACATAAAATATATGTCACAATGTCATGATCTTCCAAAAGCTTAATGAAGTCTCTTTGGATAAACTCACCACCTCCATCACACTAAAAAATCTTAATCTCTTTAGAAAATTGTTTTTCAACTATTTTCTGAAATTTTAGAAAGGTCTCAAAGAATTTAGATTTCTTTTTCAGTGGACAAATTCATGTATATCTTGTGTGATCATCAACAAAAATGAAATAATATTTCATATGTTGGGAAGATTCGACTGGAGCAGTTCCACATAACTCACAGTGGATTTTCAATAAAGGTTCTCTCTCAATATTATTTCTCAAACCAAAAGAAAGTTTACAACTCTTTTCCGATTGACAACTAGAACAAACAGTAGGCATTTTATTCCAACTACTAATATTGATGCAACTATTACTATTCAACAACTTTAAAGACTTCAAACTAGTATGTCCTAATCTAGTATGTCACATGTTGTCTGACGTGTTCCAATCATGTGCAGTAGTTAAAGCATAGAGATTGTTATCTTTCAAAGTATAGAGTCCATTCCTTTTACTTCCCTTGACCAGCAGGATATGCTCCCAACATGTGCAACAATTATCTTTTGCAAGCTTACTAATTGAGAATAAGTTCTTATTAATCTTAGGGACTACAAGAACTTCCTTTAATTTTAGACCTGATCTGGATATGCTCCCAACATGTGTTATGTCTAACTTTGATCTATTCCCATTCATAATTTTATCTAGTCCACTATAGTGTTTAAGATCAGTTAGGATACTTGACTTATGTGTCATATGACTGCTTGCTCCTGAGTCCACATACAAGGTGTTATCAGTGTTTTGAAGATTAGTACCAGTCGATGCTTGTGGTAGCTCATCTGCGGCTTGGTAAGAGTAATCCCACTTGTAAAAATACTTAAGAGCAGTATGGTTATTCCTATCACAAATTTGACACACATCAGAATTATTTCTCTCATTACTTTCTCTTGAAAGACTGTTCTAAGGACTAGGTTTGTTTTTACTGTTATAAAAACATGTTTTCTGTCCAACAGGATTAAATTCTCTTCCTCTGGAATTAAAGTTATTATTTCCTCTTCTTTGAGAGTAATTTCTTCTTTCCCTGCCTCTTTGGGCAGAGAATGTCATGTTATGATTTTATTGAGACACTTCTCATCCTCTCTCATATCAAAACCCCTAACAGCATTAATAAATTGATTAAAAGTAGGATACGGTGCCTTGCCTAACATGACAATTCTGAAGGTCTTGTACTTAAGACCTAGACCTCTAGCAAAATTAATCACTCTACTATCCTCATCTACAGTCTTGTGAATGGTTGCAAGGCCATCACATATGCCTTTGAATTCCTTACTGTATTCATCAATTGGTTTGGTTCCTAACTTCACACTTTGTAGTTATTGCTTGAGCTGGATTCCTTATCTTTTGTTGCTTGAAGATATGCTTTTTTCAAGCATTCCCACATCTCCTTGGCAGTTGAGCAACTTACAATCAGGTACATTCTTTCTTCTGTCAAGGTTCCTGATATACAACTCCTTAGTAACATATCCTTCTCCTCCAGTCATTAACAATGTTGTTGTCTTCTGCACCCTTCTCGCATAATATAGTTTTCTCAGTAGTCTGTCCAGTAAAATAGGTCTCTTTACGTGGTTATCTGATGAAATAGGTTAATCTCATCACTTGAATCAACTGAGTCATTTGTTTCCTCCATATAATATAGTTCGTCGGCATAAGTTTAATGGAGCAGGACGAAATTAGGTGATGGATGAAGAGGTCGAAAGAGTGTTGGTAAAAGGGGTCATTGTGGTTTGATAATTTGGTTGTTTTTAGTTAAATCTAATACATTAAAGAGCGAAAAGTTGTATTGCTCTGAAACCATGTAAAATTCTCACAAATATGTAAAGAATCAAAGATTGTATTGATAATTGAATGATTGAGTTACATACTCCTTATATAGGAGAAGAGTCCTATACTAGATACACTAGGAATCCTAATAAAAAACAAATATATTATGTACACCTTATCCTAGCCAATTACATCAGCTTAAGTCGAACAAAGTATAGACTTGTACATAAATTAGGATTGAGTAGTCTAGTCCTAGTGTAACTCAAACTCTAACTCGTCATACAGCTTTACCGAATTGAGTAGTCTAGTCCTAGCGTAACTCAAACTCTAACTCGTAAGACAGCTTCACCAAGCCTGTTCCTTCGACCTGTTCCATCATCTTTTTTCAACACTTAAGTCTGTTAAGCTATTGGAGATTAAGTGTTTCTTCTTATGCTAAAAGTGAAAAATATATTCTTTGCTTTACCAGTAATACAATATTGTTAATTAGACTTTACTTGGTTTTCATAAATATATTTTGATGCGTTGCTAGCTTCGTTAGTTTCATCTTGCATGTCTATTTGGACTCGTACGAAGAAAATAATCATAATTTCTCAAGCACTAGTAATTTGATAGGCATTAAGCACTACAGAATTGTTGGTCAAATTATCAAAGAATCATATACTATCACGCACAAAAAAAATGTGGTTAAAATATGAATACATTTTAGGTTTAGCAAACATAAAATCATATTTGTATGTTATACCAATGATTTGCATAATTACACTTCATAGCAAATTTTATGTTTGCTATGGAGCATCAGATTCGTATAAGTCACATACAACATTAGTTTGTATAAAAGCACAACGATTATATATGTATATCGATTAGATAATTGTGTATATGTAACTACTATGTATATGTATCAATAATTTGTACAATTTGTGTTTATATAAAGCGAGAAATAGAGAAAGGCAAAAAAGAACTGGTAAGAGAAGATTTGTATTTGTATAATTATTAGTGTCTATGGAAAATATATATGTATTTATTTTTGTATATACACTCGCTTTATACAAACAGATATGCAATTTATACATTTGTGTTTGTATAAAGTGAGAGAAGCAAGGGAGAGTGGTGAGCAAGATTCTCTAGAGAGAGAGGCGAATGTCAAGTGTTTGCCACCAATTACAATTAAATGAAATCGTTGTTATAACATTTAATTTTAATTAATAGTTTACGATTTTATGCAATTTTCTCTATAAATATTCATGACAAAAATAACATTGCGATTATGTATAAAGATTGGTGAGTTCCTTTGAAAATATCAACTTTATTAAGAGTTTAGACACCTCGTTAGTGGAATGTGTTGACTGATAATGTAACTAAGTTATTTTATTTTATTTTTACTCCTCAACTATTGTGTAATAGTTCTGTGTGGCTACTCATACCAGTCGCGGTCTACAAACTTTTCACTCGTGCTTCTACTTGAACGGAAAACTTCAAATTAGTCCAAATTAATCCAAATTTCTTTAAAATGATCCATTTTCAAATTGAAATCCGTATGCAGCCCATTATCTATCTTTACTCAAACAAATTTGACATTTCTCATACCTATTTCAAAAAGAACTTCCAAAGAATCTGGTCTACATTGATGGACATTTGAGCCCTTTTCTTTCCTCTAAATGTCTTCTAGACATTTTAAAGTATCAAATTTAACTAAGCATCCGAATGCTTTATTCTTCAAACACTTGATCTTGGCAATAACTCATTCTCTGTTACAATTTCAACTAGTCTTGTTAATCAACATGAGAGAGTTTTGATAATAGCTCCTTGAATATCAAGAGCCTGTGTTACATATATTTATAACAAGGATACTAGAATCCTAGATATACTACAAGTCCTAGTTATACATCAATACAGTATACAATCCTAAGAGTCCTAATCTAATAAATATAAGAGTCTCAATACGCCCCCACAATCTGGACGAGATGTCACTACAGATAGATTGTCACGTAAAAAACAAAATTGAGAGGAAGATAAGCCTTTCGTGAAAATGTCAGCAACTTGTAATCGCGTCGGGATATATTTAAAAAGAATATCCCCTTGAGATACTTTGTCACGAACATAATGAAAGTCAACATCAATATGCTTGGAACGATCGTGGAACACTGGATTGCGACACATATATGTTGAACTAACACTGTCACCAAATACACGAATCGGTTGACGAAGATATATTCCAAGGTGACAAAGAAGATGACGAATCCAAGTAGTCTCAGCAACTGTATAAGCAATTGCACATTACTCGGCCTCTATAGATGACTTAGAAACAGTAGGTTGCTTCTTTGCATGCCAAGATATGAGATTTGAACCCAAGAGCACCATATAGCCCGTCGCAGATCGGCGAGTATTAGGACAACCTGCCCAATCAGCATCAAAATAGGACGTGACAATAGAATTGGATGAAGAAGCACGCAGAAATAAACCATGTACCGGTATACCCTGCAAATATCTAAGCATACGCTTGACACAATACAAGTGAGTAGTTCGTGGAGCATGCATAATTTGAGAAACAATATCAACTGCAAAGGCAATATCAGGACGAGTCATTGTCAAGTATTGAAGTGCACCAACCATGCTCCTATACTCACTTGGGTTCGAAAGTAAGGTACCATCCTCAAGAGCTATACAAGTGCAAGATATAATAGGAGTAAGAACAGGTTTGCATGTATGTATATGAAACTTAAGAACTAAATGAACAATGTATTTTTGTTGAGACAAATGAAGACCATGTAAGGGCGGATAGCATAACACCAAGAAAATAATGAAGGTTACCTAGATCTTTCATTGCAAACTAATGAGAAAGACGATTTATGAATTGACCAAGAAGATCGGAATGACTACCAGTGAAAATAATATCATCAACATACAATAATAAGATAAGAATACCTAAAGAAGAACGATGAATAAACATAGACGGATTAGTTTTACTACAAACAAAACCTTGGGTGAGAAGAAATGTACTAAAGCGATGAAACCAAGCACGTGGTGCTTGGTTTAGACCATAAATGGCTTTAGTTAATTTACAAACATGACGTGGATAATCTGAATGGGTAAAACTAGGAGGTTGTTTCATGAAGACTTCCTCATTAAGAATACCATGAACAAAAACATTTTTAACATCAAGTTGTCGAATTGACCAACCAAAGGAAATAGCAAGAGAAAGAACTATATGTATTGTAGTTGGCCGAACAACAGGACCAAAAGTCTCATGATAATCAAGACCTGGTTGCTGGTAAAAACCTTGTGCGACAAAGGCGGTATTTATCGCCATAAGGAACGAGCAACCAAATTATATTTTCTAAAAGTGCATTGAATTCATCAGCCATTGCTTGCTGCCATTTCAAATTTTTGACAGCCTAGGAGAAACAAGTTGGTTTAATTTTGTTGGAATTCTACCCTCCTGAACTCTTCAAAGGAACACGTACTAACAACTAGTTTGTGTTTGCTTGAAAAACTTTAACAGTAATTAATTTGAATAGCACTTTGTATTATTTGTAAATTTCAAGTAATACAAAGATTATAACGCTTTAGCTCTCAAGGAATTATAAACTCTAATTCCTTCTACTCAAGACAAAAAACTACTCCCTAGTTTTCTATCTTCTCAATGCTTTTCAAGTACTATAACTTGTCAAGCAACTCTACTACCTAGATTGTAAACAAGACTCTTGAATACAATCTTTACAACTTTATCACTCAACTCGCAGCACTCAAAAGAATTTAACAAAACTCTCTCAACCCTCTTGATCGTGTTTTGAAGTTCTCTCTTTTTAAGTGCGCAAGTTTTTATGATCCAAATAGCTCTCTATTTATAAATCAGAAATTCAACCAATCCTTGTATAAATCAACTTGTATTTGTCTTCTACAAATCCTTGTTGACTTCTACTTGGTCTTTTACTCCAAACCTTATTGTACTCAAATTTGTTTTCAATAGTTTTCCTTAACCAAGTAAACTACTATAAACAAAAACGTACATATAAGTTTCCATATATAACTAAGCACTCCACGTACGCCGCCACTTGCATACCTGCTGCATTATTTTACTGGAACATGTTGCGTTACCTGTTCAATATAATTTTGCCATATTCAAAATCTCAAGATTAACAAATTCCCCCTTTTTGACTATGGAAAATAATCATCTTCCATTTGAATAGGTACACAATACATCAATCAACATATAGAACACTTTAATTTCATCTACACAACTGCAGGCTGCTTCCCCCTTTTGCCATTAGCCAAAAATTGAAAACCAAAGTTCATATGCATACTAAAAGAGAGCATCAGACAAAGTCATTAGTAACATCAAGAGTTAGACATCAAACCAAAATACATACAAAAATAGTAATGTCTACTTCAGTCTTTAACTAGTCAAGAACAAAAAATTATAAGACAATGCATATATGAGGATTGATTAAACAGAGGGTGCCATAGAGGTGGAAGAGTTTGAGGATCCCTTGGTTAGCAACCCCATGATACTTTGTAGATGCCAAGAATTCACTTCTATTTCTTGATGTAACGCAGCCTGAGTTTGAGTGAGTTCTTCTTTAATCCTGCAGTTCTCAACAATCAATTCCTCACGTTCCAATTTATGACCAATCTGAATCTGTTCCATTTCTAATGAGTGAGCCTTTTTTAATGCTTCCATCTCCTTTTCTACAGCAGTGAGAGAGGCCCTTAACCGTTGAGTTTTCACATCAACCCTTTAGGCGTACCAGGCATGTTCATGTAATCCACCTCCCCCATAACATCAGAAATGGTTTGAATCTGCCACTTCTTTACAGGCACACAAAAATGTTCAAATACTTGTCCCAACCAGAATCCATAAGCCAAACCCCTTTTCTTTTTATCAAGCTTGGACAAACTATGTATATGACTCATTATTAAAATCGGCAAGTTTATTTGCGTCCTAGACAATAGTAATTCCATAAGAGTAAGATCCAAGTAACATGCTTCAGTCCTTTTTTGCTTTCTTGGCAGAATAATTTTATGAACTACGTTAAACAACAACTGATGTAAACGTAACATACATCCCTTTTCAACACTACAATATTCAGATACAGTAGGATCATTTGAGAATCGCCTCCATATGTCAAGTTGAGAGGTGTTACCCTCTAAAGGAGGCCAATCCTTCTTGACATAGTGACCCCATCCCCTGTTAGGTATCCTAAGTATTGAAGACAGAGTCTCAGAAGTAAGTGTAAAAGAGACATCACAAACTGTACTTGTAATTGACGACGCAGTTCCTGTTGCATTAATATAAAATTCCCTGGTTTCTACTCTACCCATTTTACGCCTAAAGGATCCCTGAAGCATCAGTTCTGTCCACCCTTGATCTTGTAAAATAGTCACCAACTCATCCATGTCACCACCCCCAAAACCAGAAATTACTCTCCCCCTAATCACACTCCTCTTCTTAAAGGCTAATACTCTCACAGAGTAATCACTATCATCTGAATCCTGAGATTTTGATTTGGATGAAATTTTTTTCTTTTTCTGACTATTCACTGTATCTGCTACAAAGGTTAAAGATGATGGAGACTTACGCTTTCTTGTGCGATTTTTCTTGGTCGACTGAGACAAAATCTCTACATCTCGAGTATGTTGTACAGATCTAGTTACTCGTGTTGGAACCTTCGCTGGTAGAAAAGAGTGAGATTCTTCTTGAGTTTCAGGAAGAATCGCAGCAAGAGGATTGCAAGAAGACAAACTTCGTTTGGAACAAGTTCGGATTTGGGAAAGCATTTCAAGCAAAGTGATTATTTTCATCATCGGAACTATTTACCCGGTCTTGTGAAGAAAACAAATGTTCCCCCTCACTTTGTGTACTCATATTCCCTTTCTCCAACCTTTGACTTTTCTCTTCCCCCTGAACTGGTGCATCTTCCATAAGAGAACATCGAGTTACGCCGGTCAAATCGATGTAAAGAACAGCAGGTAAGGCGTGTAAGCATTCTTGATTATCAAAGGGGATTATGGCTAGTGAGAGATTTGAAGACATGGCCATTTTTCTCAACAGACACAGTGTGAATTTTGGGATTTCAAAGGTTTGGGAGAGAATGAGAGCAATCGGGAAAGAAGGAGAGAAGGAACTGGGTTTTAAGAAGAATTATAGGGAAGTGTAAAGGGTTTTTTCTGAGAATAGGAACAAGTATGATTTGAAAGGTTTTTGCAGGTTTTGATTTGGCGGTTGTAATTTGTGATGATTTTTTTTTTAAAAAATAAAAAAATTTAAAGGAACGGAACCCAATGCATTGGTCTTATAATTTTAGTCTATCTTAGTCAAGGAGAGTAGACATACCTTTAAGCATGCAAAGATGATTTTGAGAGTCCAATTCCTTCAGCTTCTAATTTCTTAGTTTATCTTCATCATTCCTAGCTCCATCCTGTTCCTTTCAAAGTGTTCCCTTGCTAGTGCCTTTGTAAAGATGTCCGCGATTTGTTCTTCCGTAGTACAAAAGTTCATAGAGATTAAACCTTTCTCCACATTGTCTCTAAGAAAGTGATGACGAATGTTAATGTGTTTAGTTCTCTTATGTTGTACCAAATTTTTTGCAATGTTGATTGCACTAGTATTATCGCAGAAAATTGGAACTTGTTCAATTTTGAGACCGAAATCACTAAGTTGTTGCTTAATCCATAGAAGTTGAGCGCAACATGACGCAGTTGCTACGTACTCAGCCTCAGCAGTAAATAGTGCAACTGAGTTTTGTTTCTTTGATCCCCATGAGATGAGACACGATCCTAGAAAGTGAGCCATTCCCGTAGTGCTTTTTTATCACCCAAGTATCCAGTATAATCAGCATCCGCATATCCAACTAAATCAAAGTTGCTTCCTTTTGGGTACCAAAGTCCTAAATCAGAGGTTCCTTTTTGATATTTGAGAATTCTCTTGACTGCCTGAATATGTGATTCTTTAGGATTAGTTTGAAAGCGAGCACATAATCCTACACTAAACACAATATCAGGTCGACTAGCAGTAAGATACAAAAGTGAACCAATCATGCCTCTATACAGTTTTTGTTCAATAGTAGAACCTGTTCCTTCAAGGTCTAACTTAGTGGCAGGAGCTATTGGAGTATCAATTGGTTTAGCATCGTCCATTTTAAACCTTTTAAGCAATTCTTTGACATATTTTTGTTATGAATCCATGTACCTCCAGGTGTTTGTTTTATTTGAAGCCCAAGGAAGTAGTTTAATTCACCCATCATACTCATTTCAAACTCATTGCTCATAAGATTTGCAAATTCTTTTGTGAGACTCTTATTTGTTGCTCCAAATATGATATCGTCAACATAGATTTGCACGATCAGGAGACCCTTTTCTTTATTCTTGAAAAAGAGTGTATTGTCAATTTTACCTCTTGAATATCCATGACTTGAAAGAAATTTTGACAATCTGTCATACCATGCCCTTGGAGCTTGTTTTAACCCGTAGAGAGCTTTGTCAAGCTTATAGACATGATCAGGGAAGTCATTATTCTCGAAGCCAGGGGGTTGTTTAACAAACACCTCTTCCTGTAATAGCCCATTTAAAAAAGCACTTTTGACATCCATCTGATACAATGTGAACTCCATGTGAGATGCGAAAGCTATAAGCAATCTGATTGCTTCTGTTCTTGCCACGGGTGCAAAAGTTTCATCATAATCTATCCCCTCTTCATGATTATATCCTTGAACAACCAACCTAGCTTTGTTCCTGATTATGGTACCATGTTCATCTAACTTGTTCCTAAACACCCATTTAGTTCCAATCATAGTTCTGTTTGAGGGCTTAGGTACTAGATGCCATATTTTACTCCTTTCAAATTGATGTAATTCTTCTTCCATGGCTATAATCCAATCTGCATCTTGAAGGGCTTCACTTATTTTCTTTGGTTCTACCATGGATAGGAATGCACTATGCGCGTAGTGATTCTTCATTCCTGATCCGGTGGTAATTCCTGAAGAAAGATTAGTGAGCAGGTTTCCCAATGGGTGTGATCCTTGGTATTTGTACTCTTTTAGGATAGGATTTGGTCTTTCCCTCTCTTGCTCTTCATTAGTATCTGGTTGGTTTTCATCAGTATCAACTCCCTCATCAGAATTCACTTGAGTTTCAGTATATTCTCTGTTTGTTGTGTCAGAGGAACAGGTTTCTTGGACCTGCTCCTGGTTAGAGACAGTATGTTCTTCAGTTGATGTTTTACTGACCAGCACATCTTCATTAGATATATTGTTGCTTTCATCGAAAATAACATGGACACTCTCTTCTACACACATGGTTCTTTTGTTAAGT